GCCATGGACCAAACTCATGTCTCAATAGGGGTTTCTCCCCCCTCCTTCACACACTCAGCAGCCAAAAAGCAAAATATGACCCTGTTGGTCTCACTTCCCATGATTTAGGTTATGAAAATGGTGATTTTCTCCATGTGCTTTTGTAAAACAGAATACTGCTGCCTCCCAACCAGAACCACAGACTATAGGGTTCCCCTCCTGCTCCAACAAAACTCTACTGAGCTTGTCTATATTTAACTTCTCATTTTCTTAAGATGTGCCTCCTTCCAAAAGCAGAATAGAAGAAGAAAAACAAAATCCCAGTTAACTGGATTCCAGTTCATTGAGGGTTTACTATGGGAAGCCACGCTGGAGAACCCTCCAGCCTTGTGAACATGCAGTCTGCAATCTGGACACCTTTTATTTAATTTCGGGAACTCCCTTTGCATGGCAAAAAGGGATCTGAGGAAAGCAGAGCGGCAGAGATGAGGGCAGGGGCAGAGGCAGAGCACTCACGAACTGTGGCCCCCCCAGGCTGGGAGAGAAGTGGGACCCAGGGGAGGAGCAGAAGTCATTCTTGACACAAACAAGGGGCCTGGGGCACGCCACCCCACCCCAGTGCCTGGCCATGCAAGACGCAGAAATGGAGACTGTGGCCCATCAGGACCACGGAGGAGATGCACCGAACTAGTGGGGAGCCCCTGGGGGCCACCCCCTGACCCCCCGCAGGCGCTGCAGGGTCTGGAGCCCAGGAGGGTCTGTGTCCGAGTCCACGGGGCATGGCCGGATAACAGATAGCACCAGTTGGGAGACTCAGGGCAGGAGAGCGACAGAGGCTCTCAGAGGCTAGCACCTGCTGGCCCGGGCCCTCCGAGGACGAGACTCACTTCCTGCGTGGCTGCTCTGGCAGCAGGAGCCTTGCCCTCACCCCGTGGCCCCAGGAAAGGAGGAAATTGTCAGGACGAGGTCTGAGCCGGGGCACCAGCTGCCTCCGGAGGGCCAGGGGCACCACACCGAGCGGCTGAAGGTGGGAGGGACAGGCTGGGGGTCCGGAGGGAGGGGGACTTCCCTCCCGCCCATTGGTGCCCCAGCACCGAGAACCTTCCAGAAGCACACTCCCGGGGCATTTTGTAGTCAACCCATTCCCCGCCCCGTGACCCCATGAGTGGGCCCCCTGTTGCTTCTGATTTATGTGTGGTGGGTCAGAGGCAGAGAGACCAGGCCACAGCGGTCTCTCCAGTTCCAGAGGTAGGCAGCGCGCGTGTGTGTGTGGGGGTGGGGGGTGGGGTGGGGTGGACACTCCGCTGGGGGCCCGGCCCTGGTCCCCCGCCCGCCCCTCTAAACCATCTCAGCTGTGTCTCCCCTTCCTCAGCTATCCAGTCGGGAAACTCCGACCCCCACCTACCTCAGAGGGACACGCTAAGGGTGAAAATCGATAACGGATAGAAAAACGTGTCTTAAAAAAAAAAAGTATAAAGCGCTATTCAAACGCGAGGCAGTGTTGTCATCACGGAGATCCACCCCTTAGCACGTCCCTCCTCTTTCACCTGGACACCCCGGCTTCCTGTTTTAGGGTCGCTTTAACCCTTAGGACCCTATTTCTTGATCTCGGCAGGCGGCCGAGACTCCCGGGTGGCTTTCCCTGACCACGATCTGAGACCCCAGAGCCCCAGAGGCCGAAAGGGCAGGCTAGGTGCCCGAGGGGTGGTGGGGGTGTGTGCTGGCCTCCTCGCTGTCCTGCCAGGACCTTCCCTGCGGGAGGAAGCCCATCGGTCCACCCCGTGAGAAGAGCTGGGCTGCCCCTTCAGCCGGACAGGTCTAGGGGACCCCTGCCCCGCCCTCCCCACCCTCAGGGGGAGCCCCGCCCAC